AAATAAATTATTATATATTTTGGGTACAGAGTTAAACGGCAGAGTTAACAGTAGCACCGAAATTTATTGCCCTTTTAAGAATCGAAAGAGTAAATCAATGATCAATCGAGTTAAGTATATTTACTGCACTCACTTTCGGAAAGAATTGTAAGGACCCCAAGCGCCAGTCCTCGTGGACGGCACATTCTGACTCTGGATGGAATATCTGCAGCCACCGAGAAGCATTCCGCAGCAATTCGGCAACAATCACGATGCGAAAACACGTGATCCGTTCACGAATGTTACTGAATCCGCGGCACTACAAAGTCGCAATAAGTCGTTTGGGCTCTCCCCAAAAAAAAAATCATCAAAAAACGAGATAAAACGCGCACCACCGATTGATTCTTCGCAAAGAATACAAGAATATCCTCACGACAAATCTTTTAGAATCCTAAAAACATCAACGTTCTTTCGTTCTTCTTAAAAACACAAAAGACGCGGGACACGACAGTGTTCCTCGGGAAAAATCAGGTCCTCGTGAACGACGATGATCCTCGGCGATTAATTATCAAAATCGCACTCACGTTCTCACGTAAACAAGACATACCACCCTCCCAACCCTTCTCACCCTTCACTACCGAGGGTCGAGAGTACGAAAAGAGTTTAGGATCCGCTCTGCTCGAGGGTGGCGGCGTTAGCGCGAACGGACTATGCTCCCCCGCGTAGCTGGACCGATCAATGGCATCAGCTCTCGAGATGACGCATCAGACAATTCCTCACGGTCGTGATCGAATCTCGCGAATTGTCGAGTCCAGAGTGAGACACTCACGATCGATGTCACTCGTCGGAGGTGATCTTGAGATGATCTTCACGACAATCTATACGATGGATCGCGATTTCCCAGAGGGGGGGGATGAAGTCTTTTCTCTCGTCGAGATGTGACGAAGTTCTGCTATCTTATCTTGACGATTTGCTAAATGCAGCTAAATGCAATCCGTACATGAAGTCCTGCATCAGTCGGTCCGATTCTCGGCCACTCGCGAATTCTTCGCACTACGGGAATCGTGTTTCGAAACCTCGACCGCGTATCGCGCGGCGGACCGAAAACGACTGACGACAGACGGCAACACGAGTCGAGTAGAAATAGAGGGATGGAGGTGCGGGGGATAACAGAGGAGATGCGAGGGATGCGCCATGTCGGCCATGGAATGGTCTACAAGAGAGAGGGACGAGGAGGGAGGCTGCATCTTTTCTTCAGTGCAAGACATGGAAAAATACAAAATCTTTAATGAGAAATTTAAAAACTTGAAGAATATTAACTTGTGTTATTGTAAGTCCTTACAAATATAATAATATAATAAATCTTAAAAATTGTTTCGCATTTTCTTGTATAATAAAAAATAATTTAGCTTCTATAGTATTCCATTCAGCTTCTTTAAATAAAATTCGACTTTGAATCTTTATACTTTCTAAGATATTTGTTTTCTAGATATTATCTAAAAACACATATATTTTAATTTTACAGATATATTTTATGTATATCTGTTTACATAATATTCATTTTGCATAATCGACACTTTTTTCGAACAAGTTTTTCGAAAAAGAGTTTAAATTTATATAAATTTTCGATAAAAACGATAAGATTGCATCCTAAGTTCCTATACAGTGAGAAAATATTTAACAACAAAGTCTTAATACATTTTTTCATTAAAGTACTAACTAAACATTTACTTACAGTAAAATAAATATTTCAATAAAAAATGATAATCAAATTAATGTTCTTGCATCAAAAATAAAAATATGTTTACATTTAGTAAATATTTAATTAATATATTACTAGGAGAAATATTTATTAAAATTTAATAATTTTTTTTCAGTGAACTTAAATTACACAATCAATTTCAATTTGTTCGTTCAATGATTAAACGGATATTCGTAAATGTTAGGAACATGATTTGTATTTATTACAAATCTCCCTTCTCGTTTTCTTCGTTATCGACGGATATGTAAATCAGCACGCAGTAGCCAATGTAAACGCCGTTGTACTGTCAGATCAAAGAGCGGAAGCTGCGGAAGGGAAAAAGGGACTCCACAAGAGAGCATCGCATATATATGGGAAAAGGGGGAGGAACGATGCGGGAGGATAAAGAGAGCAGACGCGAAGGGCAGACTAACAGTGAATGACAGAAGCAGAAAACGGAGAAATATGGAAGATCATAAAAACACGAAAACGAATCTGACATCGATCAAAGACAGTTTCTCAGCCAAACAATTGTGACAATTGTAAATGTATAATAATTAATGCTGCATTAAAAGACAAAATAAAACACTGTGCAGAATTTTCACGTCAACTTTTTTCTACAGAATATGAAAGATTTTTTAACATTGTCTGTTGAGCAATGTTGTTTTTATACGATGTTTTTTGTAATAGCAACGATTGTGCTACACTTTCAGTAAGTTAAAAAATTAGCAACTAAAAAAATATTCTATAAATTACATATATTTTTAATTACACATATGTATATTAATTTAATATATCTATAATTTAATACTTTTAAATAAGCAGTTAAAAAAATATAATTTATAGAATTATGTATCATGTTAGTTGCTAATTTTCTAATTTATTAAAATATTAGAGCTAATTGCTAGTAAAAAAACGTCGTACGTTTCTAAATTCTGATTAACTTAAATAGTAATTAATTTATCAAGTAATATCTGCGTTGTTTGGTTAACATTGATAGGATAATTTATCTTTTATCATCTATCACAAAAAAATTAGATTAAGAATGACAAATTAGCTAAATTCTGCTATAAACAATTCGGCGGGTTGAATTAATCTCCGATTAAAATTACTGGGAACTCGAAGTCGCCTTGACGTTTGAGATCGACGTAGCGTACAAACGAGAGATTGATAACCACTGCGATATGTAAGACGATCCTTAACCTCGCAGGGAGATAACCGCTGTTAAATGAATAAACAATGAGTGAATTCACTATTTATCGTGAAGTACATGTGGTGAAATCATATGACATAACAATGTCATTCGCATGTCATTTGCGTTCTCAAGTTTGCTTCATACTTTCCTCAAAAAGAATTTAGTTTTCCAAGCTAAATAGACATTAATCACAGATATAAGAGAATCTGCCGTAATTACACTTACACAAGATAAAAAAGGGATTCTAATAGAGATAGAAAGATAGAGACGGATAACTAAATGATAAAACGGTCTAAAAACGACAATATCGATTAGAAATAGATAAAAAAAAAAGATCTATACACAAAAATGAATACAGAACAGTCATTTATTATAATTCACGCAGGTAAATAACGAATTGGATCTCTAGTGCGTTTTGACTGCTCTTGAAGGGAAAGGCATCGCACGGGATATGTATTCAGCAAGCGGCAAAAATATATGTGTCTATTTATATTTACAAACGCAGGAAGCCCCACGTGCGAGGAATCGCGGAGGGGATTTATGAGAGAGTCGGGGAAGGATCCAGAGCGTTCGACATGATGGATTTACTTACATGTCGAATTCCGTCGGTGCGAGCGTCTCCTCGAACTCTGTCATTGTGTCAAATTTACCACATTCTCTCGCACAGTATTCCGAGCGTTGAAACGCAAAGGTGAAACACGCGTGATCAAACCAGCGTCGCCGTTACTTTTCAAAACAGTGCTTCGCGAAGCGACCGCGCCATTTGTCGTGGCGTCCTCAGGTCTGCCAATCGCCTCTGGTGGTGATACCTTGAATCAAAGTCTGTCAACGACTGAACTCAAATGTAAAGAAAGTGCGCAACTCGTTTTCGACGGTTGATCACAGGTTGGCAATCGGTATTGTCGATAGCATACGATAATGTCGGTATGAAAGAAACCGCGTATTGCGTCGGTCGATATACTGATAATCAAACTTGAATGATAACATTAAAGTTACAGTTTTTAATAAAAATTATAAATAAAAAATTATTAAGTTTTGAACATATATTTGGAACTAGATAAATAAGCAATGAATAATAATAATAATAATAATTAAAATAGACTTTCAATCTATAAAATATAAAAAATTAACAAATAATAGAGCTAATGAGAGTAAGTGCGGATAATCAAGTGCAAGTTTTGTAGATTTTATAATCTACAAAAATTGCGCTTGATTATATTCGAACGAACCTGGAGCATTTGGTGTGAAAGTTGGAATGCTGATCATCTAGCAAACGAGAATGGATTGAAATGAATTGAAATAAATTCAGATTTTCAGAAATATTGATTCACGAATGTTAAAATGAATGCTTTCCAATCCTGAATGCATTTTTATTTATTTAGGAATTGCATGGAGCATATCTTTATGCCTTTCAATCTAAAAATAATATTAGCTTTTTCTATGCATAGTGAATACTGTTCAATTCAAAATTTTGAATAGGAAATGCAGTTTTTCATTCCAATTACATCCAATTAACTCTAATTGAATCCAATTAAATTCAAAAAAAAGTATTCGCTATTTAAAATACGCATTCGGATAGAAAAAAATTTCAATTCATTTTAATCCCCGTTTGCTAGGTATACATATGTGTGATGTGTGTGCGCGCGCATATGTATTATACATGCTATATAATATATATGATATAATTACACACACACACACGCACGCACGCACGCACGCACGCACATGTATATGTAATATACATAATATATAATCAATTTTATGTATGTACAATTTTAAACGACACTGAAATATATTTTAAATAGTGTATTTGTATTATTTTTAAAAGTTAATATATGATAAATTATAACAAAATATTTTTTTTAATACGATTTTATCAAGCAACGCGGTAGCGTCCCGACGATAATGTATAAAAATATAAAATGGAAAAGCAAAGAAAAACAAGGAAAAAAGGCGGCATGGTCTCTCAAGTTTCTCTCGTATCATCACTTTCTTATTGCACCGTGTGCACTAGTTCAGAGAGTGCAGCAATAAAAAACAGACCTAACTAAAGAACAGACCTACAATAACCGGCGATAGTAGCGATGTGACGGTTCGGTATCATTGACTACTGCTGTGTACTGCTGTTATATTTACAGACGGATGTCACAGCGATATTTTAGAAGATAATTCCAATAAAACGAACGTGACGAGTGTCGATCAGCTTTGCTAGTGCAATATTCTTGCTGTCAAGGTGAAAAATAATAGCAGTTTTAGACTTGGAAAATTAGGACAATCACGTATAGACTTTCCGAATTTTCACGTTATTGCGACAAATCAGATTTTGCGGTATTTTCATCTTTCAGCGCTAAACCTAACAATTATCCATAATTTAATATAATAAGAATAATAAGCTTTGAATTATTAAGAAAAATTGCTTTTGGTCTGAAATAATCTAGTATTTGTTCAAGATGGAGCAAGATGCGCAAGAAGAGGTTAGTTATGTACATTTCTTTATAATTTTAATGAAATGAAAAATTTTAATTTTGAATTAAATAACAAAGCTTCAATGCTTAATGCAGAAATTAAAATTAAATTAATTAGTGATTTTTTCTTAATTGTTTTATGGTAATTTTAAAGCATGTATGCGGTGTACAGGATGCTTCTAATTAATTAAACTTAGGAGTGAATCTTTTCTTATTGAAGATTTGATTCTGAAGCCATCCGGATGGATTTATTTGTTTTCACTAAAACGTTAAATATTAAAAAAATATGCTTGAATAAATTAAAACATTTTTACTGGTTTATGTAAGATTCATGTTTTTTGTTATGATTCTAGTTGCAATTTGTGGTAGATGATGTGAGCACCATTATCAAGGAAGCGATTGAAGTGTCAATAGGTGGCAATACTTATCAGCATAATAAAGTTAATCAATGGACTTCGAACGTGGTAGAAGCTTGTTTGGGCAATCTTACAAAATTACAGAAGGCTTATAAATATATTGGTTTGTAAGACTAAATTTTTACTTCAAGAAAGAGACTTTATATTAACATTGACCTTATATGTTTTGAAATATTTTTCTTTAATATCTCTTTAATATTGAAGTATATAATTGCAGTGACTTGCACAATCATGCAGAAAAACGGAGCTGGACTTCATACTGCAAGTTCATGTTACTGGGATAATGCTACTGATGGCAGTTGCACAGTGCGCTGGGAAAATAAAACCATGTATTGTATTGTATCTGTTTTTGGATTGGCTCTATAAATTTATGTCTGCGTAACAAATTTTGCGTTTGAAAAGAATTCAATATTTTGGCAATTATGAGGTATTCAGTAAATGCCATACTTTCAAAAATAAAACGTTTTGTTCTTATTCGATAAAACTTAATATTTTTGCAGAAATTGCAGAAATTAGGGAAATAGCAGACAGAGTATGACTGTGCTTAAAAGTTACACAACGCAATGATTAATATATGTAATATACTAAAATTGGACATGTATACACAAAATAGATTGTGCTGAGATATATTTAACTTTCTTATATTTATTTTAACGAAGAATGATATTTTTTATCTACAATTGTAACTTCTATAAAAAAATAAATGCAAGATTTATAATTCTTATATTGTTGCACAATATAATTGTGCATGTTAGATGAAATAAGGTATATTTAGATTCGGCAAAATAACCCAAAATATATACAAAATGTTTCAAGGGACTTGTATAATAAACTTGTAAAAAATACTTTTTTCTTATGTTATTCTGTCATTTATTTTATGACAGAATAATATAAAACAGATATTTTTAACTATTTCAATGATTATTAAAGAATGAATAAGCAAGTTTATATATGTACAAGTTCTTAATTTGAATAATAATGAAGTAATTTTTTACTTAATTCTTATATTTATTCAATTATATGTAATAAACATTTTATATAATATTAGATTTTGCCTTTGTGTAAATGTAAATAAGTAATTAGAATTCATGAATTATTAAATTAGATATTATTGGCATTGATTATGTCGTCAGAATGGCGGTAATAGAAACATTGATTTTATCGGCAAAATAAATAAAAATAAATTATTTAAAAACGTTTTTTTTTACACATAGAGAACGATTAAACATTGAGTTCATCACAGTTTAAAGTTCTGTGGTCTGAGGTAGACTTTCATCATCGTCGCTTAGAATAATGCTATCATTTAAAAGAATTAAGTTGTAATTTAATTTACTTCCAAATTCATCATCAATGTACATATCTTCGGTCGTATATTGGTTGCCTTGTATGTTCTGTAATAAAGATCAAATAAACAATTTTATTAGTATACAAACATTTACTTGTTTACAAAAGTTAAAAGTAGAATTTATAACAAATTTCAAATTATAATTTCAATTTAGTTACAATCATTATGATTTGTGTATAAAATTTAAATTGTCTCTTTGTCTACTTACTTTTTTATTTAAAACAGTCCTTGGGGAGGCATATGTTGTCAAATTATTCAGTTTTGCGGGTAGAGAACGCCTTCTTGGTGAATCTTTCAGTATAACACTATTCATAGGACGTATGTTAACATATTCTCTTTCGTCTACTCTAATTTTTTGTGGGGTTGAGGTATCCCTGTTTGCAAATCTTATCTTACTTTGATCAGTTTTTTTCGTGGATTGTTGATTCTGTGATGTTTCAGATTCAATTGACGTTTTTGTAGTCGTAGAACTGAGCGTTTTGCTATCCATGAAAGCCTGATTAAAGATTTGTTCGTGTTCTCCGGTAGCTTCGTTAACAGTTTTTATATTTTTAACTTCATCCATTGAAAGATCTAGAAAATTACTGTTGCTAGATGTCGATTTTTCGATAACTTTGATCTCGTGATTGTCATTATATTTCGTTCCATACAAATTTTCAAATATAGCTTTGCATTCTTGTACATTACTTAGGTTTACTTTAGAAGGTGTTGTTGAACTTATTATTTCCGTGGCACGATCGAGGGCATTCTTTAAGTTTTGTATGGATTGATTTGAAGTGATTGAAATGTTTGCGGAAATGCTATCACTCACGTTTTTTAATGACTCTTTGTTATCTTCAGTGTAATTACCTTTGATGATAATAAATAATTTATTTAAGAATAGAAAATTATATAAAATACATAAATAAAATTAATTTTATATTAATATTTAATATCATAAATTTTGGAAAATGAATCGATGTTTCTTGATTTACCTTTCTCGATTCCAATTATATATGTAGTATCAGCATTTTTTACATGTGGTGTGGAATATTGTACTTTATCATCATCAGTGATAGAAGTGTTGCAACAAATTGTTTGTTGCGATAGTAAGGAATCCTGAAAGTATAAAATAAATATACTTATAACTAATATAATATTAAAAATAATATTATGTACATACTTCACTGTATTCTTTACTGTTACGTCCCATTCGTGATAAGCAAATTTCTTTTTCTTTTCTCCATAATGTTGATTCATAAAAACTTTTAGCATTAGAATGCAAAACTTGAGGCTGCATTATTGCATATTTAATACTGGAAGGCATACCCGTATATGGTGCCTGTAGGAGGAAAATAATTTATATGAGTAAACTAATAAATATTACTGTATATGTTTATATTCTGCATATACATATTCACTTAAATTACATATTTGTATATTATAGTTAATATAAAAATATACTATATATTTTAGACAAATATTGATTTATGTATGCATCACTAATAAAATTTTAATCGAAATAAAGTACCTTTCGCCGTGGTGTACATAATTTTGAAATAGCTCCACTAGGAGCTTTATATTCACTAGGAGACTTATTGCATTTAGGTTCTATAGCGGTTGTATGATTAGCTGGTTTACATGGTACATAGTCAGGACTTTTTTCTTGTGACAATAATGAGCTTGTAGCTTTCGGATCTATACAAAATTATAAGAGTAACTAAAATGTTACAAGATTTTGAAGTATAGAGGATAAAAAGAAATCTAAATTAAATATTCATTTGATATATTCTTCTCGATTGTCTCAATACAATTATCTACATTTTGACATTTTTATTTCAATCTCATTATATATAACGTCGCATAAGCATTAAGTTAATTAATTTGTAAAATAACAGTTTGCAACCGAGATATAATGTAGTTATAAATGTAAAAATATTAAACACAAAAATGTTAGTAAATTTAAATATATTCAAAATTTATATATTAATTTTACTTACATGAGGTTGAATAAGAAAAGGTGGAGTCGCTTCCAAAGAAAAAGTCTTCTCTTCTACTGGCTATCAATTTTTTTAATCGTTTTATATTAGCACGTGCATTATTCCTTTCATCAAGATCTTGTACTATATTTGAAATTTCTGCACAACGAGTGCAAGGAGTGGTAGTCTCTACCATAGGACTCACGACAATATCATTGATAACAGTCATTTTTTTCATATTATTTTTAGAATCCAAGTCTCCATTGCATTGCTCTTTCTTAGATTTGAGAAGTTGATTGGACATAGATTTTTTCTCTCCCATAGGCTGACATGATTGTCCAGTGAATGGTTTTTTAGTCAACACCTTATTTTGCATGAGAGACATAGAAGAAGTCTTTTGATATAGTGTATCATTATATAAAAGATCATTATTATTTCTATTTTCATTTATAAACGTGTCATTCTTCTCTTCTTCATATATCATCTTAAAAAAAAAAATAATTAAAATTAGTAACGATGCATCCTAGTGAACAAAGAATTACTGTACAAAAAACTAATAATCGACAAAAGCTATGCAAATTCTAAAAATTATATTGCTAAATAATTGTATATTATATTTATTGCAAATTTACCAGTAGTCTATGAAGTTTTTTTCCTATTCTATCCATGTCTAACATTATCATTGTCTCATCAGGATGCAATCCAGCCTCTAGTAAGCTACGGAGGATTGATGGGACATTTTGTAAGTTTATAACAATATCTCGTTTTCGCGCCATGTGCTGTCGTTCTACATTTGATTGATCATATCCGCTCCACGGTACATTTCCTATGAATGTTATATAATAATCAATATTAAATTACTAACTATTATTTAGTTCCTTTTGATGCAATTTTAATATTTTATTTAAAAAACATTACAATTATTTTTTTTATTAAAAGATAAGAAATTATATTAATATATTGTATGTATATAAGTATTTAAGTATATATATATATATATATACTGTATATTAATATAATTTTTATATTGTATATATACTATTAGTGTAATGTACTTGCCTGTACACATTTCCCAAAGTAATAGCATCAAGCAGTAAACATCCATTTTTTTATTGGGTTGTAGTCTGTAGCATATCGCCGGTGCTTGCCACTTAAAATTCTCTAGCCGTAAATATTTTTCGAAATTACGTTCTACATAAGTCTAAAAACAAAAGAAATAATAGCATATATTTTATTATAGGAAAAAACAATATTAAAAAATGTATTTTAATATTTCATATTGAGTTATACATCTTATATTCTTTGTATTAAATAAAGAATAAATCTAATTAAAAAATTGCGACATAAATTTGCAAGACTTTTGGGATAAGATAAAAAAATTGTTATTAATATTTAGATTTTTATATTCAAACTTTATAATGTAATTAGTTATATAAATATAATAGTTCTAAATTTTTTCTTTTGATTCTTATTTGTCTTCGCGATAAGATTTTTTCGACGTGATTCTATGTTAAGTATAGTCCTTATTACTGAAAATAATCTATCATATTTAATTGCGATTATGAGTTCCGCGTTCCAGACGGCGCATGCGATTAGCATCGACACGGTACAGCGAATTTATTCAGAAACGAACATTTTGTCGAAAACAATGCCAGTCGTTTCCGTTGGTGAAACGCTCATGGGTGTGTCATGGAATCGCGGATATGACGTGATCCGTTTCGTTAGTCTATTCTGTCTGTGAACTTTTTAAATCTGCTAACAAATGATTTTAAACACGTAAAAGTGTATTTGTCGCGTGCTTAAGTTAAGATAGATGTGAATAAAAAAATATGCATATCTATTGTTTCATTAAGGAATAATAAAATCAGTTTAGGATAACATTATTTAAATAATACATAACGCGGAAGTATAGAAATACATAGATGTATATATGACAATTTATTACATATATTTATAGCAAAATATCTTATAAATTTATATAAATTTTATATTTTAGCAAATTATTTAAATAATTTATAAAAAGATATCTGTACAGATTCGTACTTTAAAATAATTGATGTTTAATATGATTTACGTTTACACGCAATATTTTAAAACTATATGCTAATATTTTGAGAATACAGTAAGGCATAAAAACGCTCAAATTTCACATACTTTTTCTATTTCTCTAGCCAGTTCCCATCCGCCAAGTTTGACAGTCGTATCGGTTGCAAAATAAACGCAGTGTGAACTAATCGCTGTATGTATATATCCTCGCATATGACAATATTTTAATGCATCCGCCAATTTTATACCGATTTGCATGATTCCTTGTACGTTTATTCGTTCACCTTGCTCGTGCATGTAATTGTACAATGAGCAGTCGATG